AAAAAAACTCGGAATGCCAAACAAAACCTTTTTGGTTAATAAACCTGCAACCACCTACCGGTTAGTTCCTATTCAAAATCTAGCTTTCACACAGAGTATTGAAAAATAAAATACGACATTTTATTACAATATTACAACAACAACAACAAAACAGCTTTATTAGGGCATCTTGCCCTGTACGGATTCTCCGTGGAGTTACAGACAATATTAACCATAAGAGAACAGGTGAAAATATAGTATTTTACAGTCAAGGTATGTCAAACAGGGTGACTTTTTATTGTGCCCCTGTTCTTCTCTCTTCCATGAGTGCAATTTTATTCCCAACCGCTTTTTGAAAGTTGAACAGTTCAATTGCCCAACTTTTCTTATCTGAAACAGTTTTTATTAGCTTTATTGAGTTCAAATGCGGTCTAGGAAGACTTTTCAGGATCTTTTTTCTCTCTCCTTCCAGATCCCCGCATTCAGCAATAAAATGGTATATTTCATCAGTTATCTGACTTCCACATAACCCACAGTACAAATCTTCTTTCTTAATTGCGTAAATATGATTTTCTTTGATCATTGTTGACATTAATCTGATCTGTGCAATAAAACTCACTAAAGCTGAAGACAAATTGCATGAAAAGTAATTTTCTGGAATAAATGAATCATAAAGTAACCTATAGTTTGAGTATGTTTTCGTAAGAGATAATTTTGCCAGATCTTGCTGCAATAGCTGTTCAATTTTTATTTTTAGTATATTCGGAAGTTCGATCTGTATGTCATCATAATTTAACCTATAGTTTAGCCATGTGAGTCCACAATGATTGATGATATCCATAATATTCTTACAGAATCCTATAGGTTTTTTTGTCATTAAGGAAATTTCCTTCAATCTATTCCAGCATAGCTTAGGTAGTCTATTGTCTTCCATTTTTTGTAATCTAATGAAATATTTCAAAATTAATTTGATCGTTGTAAAAGTCAAAGATATTCTGCCTGTTTCCAGCCTTACAATGTACCCTGGTATATATCTTGGTAGATTCAGAAAATTTTTGATAAACGTATTCTGTAATTGGTCTATAATATCCGTATTGTCCCAAGCCCACACAGGGGCCGCATAGAGCAGTATTGATTTAATAACTGAGTCAAATAGATTCAGAGCAACTTTTAATGAGTTAATTTTTTCTTTTTTTATCAGTCTAATAGTTGCATTTATTGCCGTATTTGCTTTGGCTTTATAAAAGAGGGCTACCTTTTTACTATTAATAGTGGAAGTGAATGGATATCCCAGATATGTAATATTGGACGCAACAGTCAGTGGGGTGTCACCCCAGTACCAGTTTTCGTGTCTTGCCGGTCTTCCTCCATTTCTGAATACTATTATTTTTGACTTATTTACATTTAAAACTAATTTGTTCTTATCCAGGTAAGACTTTAGTAAATTGATTTTAATTTGAAGATTAATTTTCGATTCTCCAATTATGGCTATGTCATCCGCATACATAAGTAGGTGTAAAACGCCAAAATCAGGGAGATGAAATCCTGTAAGTGCTGAGTTATTATAAAGTTCTATTAGGTCGGCCATATATAGTATAAATAAAAGTGGGGAAAGTGATTCTCCCTGCAACACTCCAGAATTAATTTTCACATTATTTGAATATTGTCCTTTCCATCGGATAGTGATCTTAGCTTCTTGGTAAAAGTTTTTTATCAGCATTACAAATTTATTGCTAATGCCCATTTTATGCAATTTTTGCCAAAGTAAATCATGTGGGACTGTGTCGAAAGCTTTAGTCAAATCGACGAAGAAGACATATAGCTTGCCTCGTTTTCTTCTCAGAGATAATTGGATGAGTGAATTCAGTAGTATTATGTGGTCAGTGCATGATCGGTTCTTACGGAAACCTGCTTGGTTTTCTAAAATAATCACTCTTTTTTCTATCCAGTTGTTTAATCTGTTACTTAGTATTGTAGTAAATAATTTAGATATATTACTGCAGAGGGCAATCCCTCTGTAATTTGTTGGGTTATTCTTATCACCGCTTTTATATATAGGGTGTACTATTGAGTTCGTCCAGAGTTGCGGGTATTTTTCTGTGGACATTATTTTGTTGAATAGGTTTTTCAATTTAGTTAAAGTCGGTATTGGTAAATTCTTTAGCAACTCATTTGGTATACCATCGAGTCTCACTGCTTTGCCGTTCGCTAGGTTTTTTACTACATCATGGATCTCTTCAAGGGTTATTTCCGCGTCTAAATCTGAATCTTTCCAACCGATCATCTGGTTTACCGTAAAAGTAGCTTCTTTATTTTCTTTGTTCAGTAAATTTTTATAAAATAAAAACCATTCTTTTATATCAATCTCACCTTGTATTATTGTTTTTTTTCTGAAGGATGCAATGGCATTCCAGAAGGATTTGGGATCTTTGGCGTTCTTTATCCTTTCATTCTTGTCCTTATTGAATTCATCTCTTTTTCTTTGCAGGAGCTTAAAATATTCCCTCCTAGCCTCAATATATTTTTGGCGGTCGTGTATGTTATTTGAGTTCCTACATCTTTGTAAACTTACTTTGGTCGTTTTTTTCATAATATAGCAATCTTTGTCATACCAAGGTTTTGAAAGTTGGTGTCGTCGTTTAGCAAATTTAATTATATTTGCCGATTCCATTGCCGTGTAGATCTGTTTAGTAAAATTTGCTGTTTCTGTGTTAATATCGGTTTCATTTCCAACTTCAATATCACTTAAATTATGTTTTAGCATCTCCACATTTTCTTTCGTCCAAATGAATTTTCGTATTAGTATTTCATTTTTGTACGAGGATTTAATAGCTTCATACCCAGTATTAATTTGTAAAACAATTGGTAAGTGGTCTGAATATGAAAGTTCTTCGATCCACATATCCGATATGATCTGTGTTAAACCGTGTGTGTACATGAAATAATCCAAAACCGATGAACCTCTTTCTGAAATAAAAGTGAATGAGCCGTGCGTGTCACCCCTAGTTCTTCCATTAGCTATTGTTATAGAATTTGAGTCAGTGAAGGAAATTAGTTTTTCAGATAGTTTCGAAGATATTAGGTCTTTAGATTTCCTATATTTGTTGAGGGGTGAATTTAATTTCAGTGGGTTATGGAAGCCTCCAGCATTGCCTATTCTAATATTGATGTCACCAGCTATTAGTACTTCGTTACCTTCACTCATGTGATAATCAATATGCCTAAGTAAATTTGTTAAATTTTGTTCTTGTAATGCATTAGGAGGTAAATAAGCAAACAGCAAACATATACTCTCGGTGGTTTTGTCTAGAAATTTGTGTGTCAAGACAGATATCCAGTAAGGGTTTGTTTCGATTTTTCTAACCGTATGTTGGAAGTTTTTTTTTATTCCAATCAGAATTCCCCCCGAGCCCCTTCCCTTTAGTTCTGTCTTCATTGCTGGGCTTTGAATTATGTAATATTCATCAGTTAACAATTCAATAACACCAGTGATCCATGTTTCATTTAGTGCAAAAAGTTCGTATTTTTTTAGGTATTCAACGAGTGGAAATATTGATGTTATTCTATTGAATCCATTTATATTCCATTGTAATATTTTAATTTTAGTATCTATATGTTTGGCCTGAGTTACTTGTTTGTCTTTTATTGCCGATTCACAGTTTTTCGTATGTGTATACCTAATTTTAGTTGTATTTCTATCTGATATATTTTCCATAACCTTTGAGTTTTTAATTTTAGAAGTTTTAGCCGTGAGTGTTTTATCATAAAGTGGCTGTATGGACATTGTATTAGAGATCTGTTTATCAATGGGTTGACTATTTACAAGTGATTGTTTCCTATCTGCCTGCTACAATGAATGTCCATTGGCATCTACAATTTGTCCATCACAGACCTTATATGCTATGCCATTAATTATTAACTTATTGTCCCTTAGCTTAGCTAGAGTACCTTTTTCGACGAGTTCTCTTCTTTTGACATTCAGAACGCGTCGTTGTTCTCTCATCTTCATACTATAGTCCTTCGATAGTGAAATCTTAGTTCCTCTTAGATTGAAAGCAGCTTTGAATAGAGTTGTTCTATCGTTTTGTTCTGGGACTTCAACCAGGATCGGTGCACCAGGTTTTCTGGATACTCGGTGGCATCGCGTGATGTTTATCTTCTCCGTTGTCCGCATATTTTCTTCGATAACCCTCCGTATCCGTTCTCGGCAGTCCTCGTTAATGTCTTGTTCTATTCCGTAAAAAATAAGGTTCCTTTCTCTGCTCTTTGCATCCAAGTATTCAAGCTGGTCTTCTAAGTCTTTTATTTTTTTGGAGTTTTGAGAGAGTGCTGCCTTTGTAACGGCAGAAGATTCCTCTAATTGTTGCAGTCTTTGATTTATATTTTCTACTCCATCGTCGATTGCCGAAAGACGGGATTCCAGCCTCTCACCCCAGTTATCCAGCCTTTTGGTGAGTGCATTTATCAGATCTTTGATCTCTTTATCCCTATCTAAGCTTGTTTCCAACGTCGTTTGTTTGGACATCCTAGGGCCTGGATTTTGTTCAATACCAGCTAATATTAAGAGCATTAAAACTACACATATAAGGAGAAAGTTTCGGTAATATTTTGAAAGTGAAATATTGACGCGTGATAAGCAAATCTTTTTGCCGCCGTATGTATCCGGCTTGAAAGTATGTAAATTTAACTCAGAATTCTTGTCTAATAGACATAAAATTATGATGGTAAGATATATTGGATATGAAGGTTTCATTTCAGATATATTGAGTTTGAACTTTAGCAAAAATAGAGGAAATATTTTAGTAAGACAGTTCACTTATCGAGAGCGACGTTGCTTGCAGCCTATTCGTGCCGCCTCCTAGCGGAGAATCTCTATTACAATATTAATATATTTTATATTCTAAAATAGGTTTATATAGAGAGATAAATGCATGTATATTAGGTTTGAAAAAGGGGACATTCAAAAATAGTTACAATTTCTAACACTAGATGGCGGGCAGTGTCTGCTGTTTGCTAACAACCGATCCAAGCGTTACATTAAAAAAGAGAAATTAAATTATAATTTCTCATCAATTTACTATATAAATATTTGTAAAAGGTTTATAAATCATTAAATACATAATTAAATGTAAAAAATGTGGTTTCTTCAGTTGAAATATAAGTTCCGAGATAAGCTGGCGGCTGGGAGTCGTGGCGTGCTCCTGTAATCCAGCTACTTGGAGGCCGGGGTTGGTGGACGGCTTGAGGCGAGGAGCCCTCCCTTCTGGTTCCCTATGTTGACCGGTTGTCCGCACTAGGCCCAGCGTCAATATGGCGACCCCGGGGGAGCCCGGGGCCTCCAGGTCAGCTAAGGAGGAGTGGACCGGCCCAGGGCGGAAACGCAGCAGGCAAAAGCTCCCGCGCAGGGCGGTAGTGGGATCGCGTCCGTGAATAGTGTCCAGATGGGAGCCTCGCCGATATAGTTGGACCCAACTCTTTTTTTTTTTTTTTTAGTATTTTTATTCAATTAGGAATGCACCTTTTTTTTTTTTTCATTAAAATTATAGCACTGTCGTTGAAAAGAAGCTCATGCGGTTAAACTTCAAGTGTCGTTTTACACTTACAAGTCTGTTAGGTTACTTGCACTCGCTGGTGGGGTTGGACTTTTGCAAGAACCGGGGACCATTGGACCTTTTTTTTTTTTAATATAAAAAAGTGCCAAATGCGGGATTACCGGTCGAAAACCAACGGTTTAGACCCCCTTTCCACCGACCCCATATTTTTTTCGTTAACATTTTAAAGTATACCGAAAAATGGATTAATTAAAAAGACTTTATTTTAATTCTTTCACACACACTGTATTATCGAATTCTGTTTTAAAAATAAATTTGGGCGTTTTGAAAAATACATCTGTCCTAATAACAAGCAGGTGAAGTTTCTTGGAGATACTGATGGCTACATTGGTTCTGTTGTTGTTATTTCTTATCCCCTTGTGTAAAGATTACACAAATTCCATGAGTTCATGATCTCATGTAATGGGGTATAGGGGGGGCAGCTTTCATTGATCATGGCATCATGATCCAGGCACATTTTGGTGAAAGTCTGACTTTGCCTGTATTTTGAGGCTGTTCCTAACATGGAAGCCTTTGCTGCCGACTCTAACATGAGTACAGACACAGCTCCTCCGTATCCCTGGAGAGGGACCCATGCTGAGGTCTATCAACCGGGTCAGTTGAACTCAGGATTTATAAAGAGGGAGTGTCCCTCCTGGTTATAGCATCAAGTCTATCAGAACAAGACTTGATCGTGTAGAGGGTTTACTGTACCTCCCAACAATGTCCACTGCACCACAGGCCAGTTACAGAGGGGTAAGCACATTGGTTCTGGATAGGCTAAACTGAATGGCTCGCAGTGCAAAATACTGTTGCAGGTACAATTCAGGTTTTGTGCCAAAATTGAATAAGAAACCCATGCGAGACCTAACAGTATTTTCATGAAGATAGAGGCTGCCTGGTCGGCATTCATAGTTCTTAAAATTAAAGTTACTTCGGCCAGTAAATCTTTTTTATTGTCTCGACGTTTCGACAAAAATCTTTTGACTTCCTCCAAACCACACTAAACGTCGAGATAATAGAAAATAATTACTGACCGAAGTATCTTTAATATTAAGGACTTTAACAGTATCTGTACCAATACAAAACATACAAACATACATACCAAAATATACAAAGGTGAATTTAAAAAATCATAAAAGTCTGGGTAAAATGTGCAGACTATGAAGAAATGTATTGTTACGTCGTACCCAGTCGCTGTACTTTGTCTACTCAGGAGGCCACAAAGACACACGTGAGTTCGAAGGGATGCAGCTAAAGTTAGCGCTTTATTGTATCTCACTAAACAGAAGGAGTACAATCAGTAGGACTTACCTTCAACCTCCCCGTCAGAAGAATCCTTGGCGCCGTGGATGTCACTCTTGTGTTCCGCTCCACACTGTACATGTCCAGCCTGGACTACACCGTCTTGTAGGCTGCTCCGATGTCAGTCTCTCCTGGCACCGTCTTGTAGGATCATCCACACGCCCGGAGACAAGTCGCCACGTCTTCTCCTTGCCACAGATGTGACCAGACTCTGTCCTCCCCCACACAGGAATGCTGTTTTTAGCGCCTGCCACATGGCGGCTAGAGTCCACCCCTCTTTCCCCAACTTTACTCTGGTAACTTGTCATCCATGTTACAATAGTTTCAATTCTCTACATAATCTCCTTTTTCAATGCACCTCTTCCAAAGGTCAGGTAGCTGAGAAGAAGCGGCAAGTTGTCTGTGGGAGTGTAGCCGTGTGTATGATCCTGCAAGATGTCAGAGAAATTTGCACGACCTGGACAGCTGTGGAAGATCCTTCTGATGGCGGACATTGGAGACATCTAATCTCTACTGGCAGCTACTGGTAATAAAGTACGTTGTGATGCATTAGCGCGCCATCTGTTATGAAAATTCGAAACTATTGTAACGTGGATGACAATGCCAAGATTCCAGAGTAAAGTTGGGGAAAGAGAGCTGGACTCCAGCTGTCATGTGGCAGGCGCTAAAAACAGCATTCCTGTGTGGGGGAGGACAGAGTCTGGTGACATCTGCGCCGAGGAGAAGACGCGGCGACTTGCCTCCGGGCGTGTGGATGATCCTACAAGACGGTGCCAGGAGAGACTGACATCGGAGCGGCCTACAAGACGGTGTAGTCCAGGCTGGACATGTACAGTGTGGAGCGGGACACAAGAGTGACATCCACGGCGCCAAGGATTCTTCTGACGGGGAGGTTGAAGACAAGTCCCACTGATTGTACTCCTTCTGTTAAGTGATATACAATAAAGCGCTAACTTTAGCTGCATTCTTCGAACTCACATGTGTATCTTTGTGGCATCCTGAGTAGACAAAGTACAGCGTCAGGGTACGATGTAACAGTATTATAGACACGTATGATTCTTTTTACAATTCAAGCAATTTCTACTGTCCTTACTGCAATGTATAGATCGTGTCGGTGTTGGGATAGTGGTCAGACAGTGTTGTTCGCTATTGTTGTATGTAATTAAATTTCTTTGTCTTTAACTATATTGTAGCGAAGCATTTATTATTTTACACTAGTATTAACAGAGTATCATATTTTATGTTTATAGTTTACTACTCTGTAAACTTCCCTCATTCCTTATCTTTTGTTTATCTTTCATAGTTTGTTCTTGTCTTAAATAAATTTCTGTCTCATCTTGAAGTTTGTCTTCCTCAACTTACCCAGCATCTCCACCAAAATACCACGTGGAAAATTAGGGAAGAAAAACTTCGGGATGAGACAGCGATTTATTTAAGTCAAGAACTAACAATGAATAATAAACAAAAGATAAGCAAATGAGGGAAGTTTACAGAGTAGTAAAATATAAACATACATGAAACTCTGTTAATAAAATAATAAATGGTTCGCTACAATATAATCTCAAGTGGCGTATAGATGTGTTGTCCTATTGTAGTATTTCTTCTCTAAAACACGCTATTTTAGCTGTTGTTTTCATTTTGAAAATAGTTAGCTTAGGTTTAACCTTTCAGTTCTGACAACCTTGAGTATATTCATCATATCACTAATAAGACAGCCTTAGTGCCAATTATATGTTCTGTTCCAAGACCACTTTATTAGGGATATCTCAAAAAGAGAAACCTAGCTTATGGTATTTACTATGAATAATGGGGGTCGGTGGAAGGATGGTCTAAACTGTTGGTTTTCGATCGCTACGACCCTGGTTCGATTCCCGCATTGGGTACATTTTTCTGATAAAAAAATGCTTTAATGGCCCACGATTCTTTCAAAAGTCCAACCCCACCAGTGAATGCAAGTAACCAAAACGGGGCTCTGGCATATTTGTAAGTGCAAAGTCGAACTGCTTTTCACATGTGTAGACATGTAGTGTACTTACAGTAAAAGAAGTCGCTAACTACCCACCATGATTATCATGGTCTGTATCACGTGTACTAGGGATAAGCCAAACAATGATGTGACTATTGTGGGATACGATCCCGGTACATGGATGTCGGGAATCGAGGGTTTTAAACACTCGTCCACCGACTTTTCCCCCAATTATATTTCAAGCAGGCGACATCCTAGCTCTCAGTGTACTTCTGGTTAGAAAAGTTGACTAGGTTCTGTGGTGCAGGCCCAACAGCCGTGATCCGGAATCCCGCATTGTGTATTCTTCCATGCTTTACCTGCTCGCGATTCTTGCACAAGTCCAACCCCACCAGAGAGTACTGACAAAAGTTACTATTTACGGGATAACACACAAAGTTGCATATTACTAGAACCTACAGTAAGAGTAACTAACATAGAGAAAAACGTGCACTCAAGAGTACAACAACAACAACAAAAGGAGCAAAATAAAAAACCTCACGATTTGTTATATAAAAACAAAACAGTACTTTTATTGTAGCGTTGGTAGGGATCGGACCGGGGTCACACAGGTATGTGAGGAGATCACCAGACACGGATAAATCACACAGAGAACACTTTAAACGTCTCCACACAATAATCCACCACACTGGTCTCTCGTAATACCATAGTCCCTTCTTATATACAAACATGGCCACATTCGTCCAATGACGTGAGAGATTGGTTCACTTAACAAACAAAAACAAAAATCTTCCCACTAAAACCTGAGAAATGATAAAAGTGAAATTATTTGTCAATATAATTTGACAGTACAAGTAACCAAACAGGGCTCTGGTACCTTAAAAGTGCAAACTTTGAACTGTTTTTTACATATGTGACACTTGGGGCTCTTATAGGGTAAAAAAACAATCGTTATCTACCCCTCATGATTATCATGGCTCACTGGTGTTTGGCTGCTTGCACTGCATCCAGGTTTCTGTATGTAAAACATTGTTCTTTGCATTTACAAGATGTGCTAGTCTCGTTTGGTGGAACAGCTATGAAATATATAGTGTTGTTGAGTCATGGGATTTATTTTTTTTTTTTTCATTTGTTGGGAAACTTCAGGTGCGTGTCAAAAGTTTTTAATCAATAATATTTTTAGTATATTTGAATTTTTCTATTTCTTATTAAAATTATATATTTAAATAAAAAAAAAAATTATGACGTAAAAAAAAAAAGTAGTCAAACAAGGGTTCGAACCCTTGACCTTACTATCAGCGGGCATAACTTTGGAATGCTATATTTTCAATGTAAAAAAAAAAATGCATTCCTAATTAAATAAAAATATAAAAACACAAAAAAAGAGTTAGGTCCAACTATATCGGCGAGGCTCCCATTTGGACACTATTCACGGACGCGATCCCACTACCGCCCTGCGCGGGAGCTTTTGCCTGCTGCGTTTCCGCCCTGGGCCGGTCCACTCCTCCTTAGCTGACCTGGAGGCCCCGGGCTCCCCCGGGGTCGCCATATTGACGCTGGGCCTAGTGCGGACATCCGGTCAACATAGGGAACCAGAAGGGAGGGCTCCTCGCCTCAAGCCGTCCACCAACCCCGGCCTCCAAGTAGCTGGATTACAGGAGCACGCCACGACTCCCAGCCGCCAGTTTATCTCGGAACTTATATTTCAACTGAAGATAACACCTTTTTACATTTAATTATGCATTTACTGATTTATAAATCTTTTAAAAATTATTATACAGTTAATTGGTAGGGAATTATAATTTAATTTCTCTTTTTTAATGTAACGCTTGAATCGGTTGTTAGCAAACAGCAGACACTGCCCGCCATCTAGTGTTAGAAATTGTAACTATTTTTGAATGTCCCCTTTTTCACCCCTAATATACATGCATTTATCTCTCTATATATATAAGCCTATTTTAATATATATAATTACTGTATTAATATATACATGAAAAAATAAAAAGGTCAGGTGTTAATATTAAAAATAAAAAAGGCATATATTTTTAATATATATATAAAATATTTATATTAGAACATTGGCCTGAATACAAAAGACTAATCCTAGTAGATACTTAAAATCTCAAATATGTGAGCAAAGAATGACTTTTAAAAATATAAAAATATTTACCAACAAAGTTTTTTTAATTATTATTAATTAAAAATAATAGCTTTCAAACGATAATTGCTCTTTAACGGTCTTAATACAAAAAAACATCGACTATATTTTACTCTAGAAGTATTTACAAATACGTACGCGCACAGTGTGGATATTTACAACTGAAATTTTAAAATTGAAATGTAATTTAACAATGTTATGTAATATATGTCTATGTTTTTAGGGCAACCATGGAATAGAAAACTAACCTACTTTGTAGAAATAATGAGAGCAAATGGTTTGAGGAAGATGTTGATGTTAGAAAAAAATGAAGATAGAGACGAAGACCTCCAATGAGCTGGCTATAAGAAGCTGCGAGAAATTGTCACTAGAAGATCAAATTGAAGAATATTTGTCCATATTAACAACAATAAACTCCGTCTTTGCCGGTCCCAAGCCCAGGTGAAAAAGGAGGAGGGGGAGCAGTAACAAGCTCACTAAAAAACCTGGGCTCAGCTGGCCATGCTGATAGTACTCTGTAAGGTCTCCAGGGATAAAGGATGAGTCTGTACTCCATGTTAGGAGCGGCTGCACATGGCATCTGTTCCTCATGTCAGAGGCGGCCATTTCTTCTGGAGCTAAGTCGGCCTGCCACTGAGTAGTGCTCCCAGTCTTAATGACAAAGGCAGACTACTTCACCCAGTCATGATGGTTGTCAAACAGACACCATCAAGGGTCACAACTTGATACCCTAATATGATTTAGTGGAGATAAGAAAGAAGAAGACAACAATGACTTTATAAATAGCTGCGTGATTGTGCAAGACAAGGTGACTCGAACGTAACACCTGTAAAACTGAGATGAAATAAATACTTTTGAGATTGTTCCCTGTTGGGTTTGGCGATCTATGGATGCACTCCAGGAGTCTGGGTTACCTTTTTGTTACTACTCCTACTCCAATACTGGGTAGTTGGCGTTCTACGCTCATGGAACCTGGTTTATAAATATATTTTATTAGAATGCATTAGCGCGCCATCTGTTATGAAAATTTGAAACTATTATAGACGCGTATGATTCTTTTTAAAATTAAACAATTTCTACTGCCCTTACTGTAATGAAAAAATTAATGGGCTTTCCCATTAGGCGGCCATTTCTTTTAGAGCTAAGTCGGCCTGCCACTGAATAGTGCTCCCAGTCTTAATGACAAAGGCAGACACATTCTACTTCACCCAGTCATGATAGTTGTCAAACAGACACCATCAAGGGTCACAACTTGATACCCTAATGTTCCCATGTTCCCCCTCTATGTTCCCATTACAGTAAGGGCAGTAGAAATTGTTTAATTTTAAAAAGAATCATACGCGTCTATAATAGTTTAAAATTTTCATAAATATCTTTGATGAAAACAAATTGCACGTATTTTGAGGCAATTACTTTGTTATTATATATTTATTTCCAAGATTATTGTCTTTGATGAGTTGAATATTTGTTTTGACTCGTGCTTTAGATGTTGTACAAAATTTGAAAAATCGCGTAGAACGCCCTTGCATTTTCAGAATAATTTTTAACGCCTTACCAAATGCTTTATTTTTATTTCTTCCAGACTCAACCTCAGCATGGAACTTCCTCGTCAACTGGTTCTACTCAGCAATCAAAACAGGACGTGGGTAAAAGCGCTTAGCACTATTCCATACTGGTGAACTGGACTCGCGATAATGAAATATTTGCGCCTATTACAGAGGAAACAAACAAACAAATTAGAACTTAGAATTAAATATTTACCAATTTACATGTATTAATCGACAGAGTTCATAAAATGTATATAGACAAAGATGTAAGAGAGTTAAATCATTTAGATCAGGGAACAATCTCACTTCTGTAAAGTTCGGACAATCGTAGATAAGGTGAAGTTTGTTCAGTTTCTCCGCAGGAACAATTTGGTGTTTCTGATAGACCTCTTTTATGTAAGTATTTCTGGCCGTGTGATGTGATAACACTGGTCAACAACATTCTTGCCCTAGAGAACCTGATGGTGTTTCTAGTGTAACTTTTCATGCTGAACTCAAAAATCAGAAATTTTCCATCACCCATGATTTTTGCGTGACAGCCTTTTTTTGGTATTGGGATAAATACATTTAAAAAATGCAAAAAATATTACGTAAGCATTTTTTCATAAACCTTATTACATTACACTGGTTTGTCAAAAAGTATTTTTATTTGTCCCAAAAGAAACAGCATCTTATCTAAATTTAACTCTTTGTGCTGATTCCAAATATACCGTTAGTTTTTTCTGTTTCAAAAGTTACATTAGAATAAACATCAGGTTTTCTCCGGCAAAAAAAAAAAAAAGTTTTTGTGTAGACCTGTGTAATTTGAATGACTATAAAATTTGGATGGAACTGTGTAGAAAATTCCGTTTGCGAAATTTTTTTTGTATTTGCCAAAATTGATTCTGTGCGTTTTGCGAAAAGACGATCAAAGAAATGTATCAATGCATCGATTGAAATGGAGGGGCGCTTTTTTGAACATCTTCCGTATACACCTATCCCCCGATTTACACGGTAGTTACGTTCCTGAGAAAAACGTGTAAATCGGGGGATAGGTGTACACAGAAATAAAAATAAAATGCATTGACAGGTTAAAATATGTAGTCAGCACATAAGCTCGGGATTCCTCGTGAGATGTGTACACAGCGCATGTGTTCAATCACAGTAGCATTTAGTATAGTGCGATAAAAACAAAAAAAAAAAAACTTATTTGGAAAACCGTGTAAAAGCGAAAACGTGTAAAACAAGTACCGTGTAAATCGGGGGATAGGTGTATTCCAATATGCAAATATACGGAATACAAACATTGATATTCAACCACAAACATTGATATGTAAAACGACATTTGAAAAATTTCCCGCATGTGTTTCTTTTAAACGAAAAATCGAAATATATTTTTAAGGAGAAATAACGATTATTTCTATCCTTAGGGATGAAGTATGAAAGGATGAATTGTAAAGAGTAATGACGGATTCCCATCCCTGGACACTTTATTTTTTCCTTTATCATTACTCTTCACAATCCATCCTTTCATACTTCATCCCTAATCGTTATTTCTCCTTAAAAATAAATTTCTATTTTTCGTTTAAAAGAAACACATGCGGGATAATTTTCAAATGTCGTTCTACAATCATAAGTCGCATATTGTATTATAAACATTGATATGTTGAATTATTCATTTTCTCTCAATTTATCTTCATATAACATTTATTACAAGTATTATTGTCGGAAGACAGAGAAAACATATTCCATATTTACTTCAGTGTAGCATTTTTCGATTGTTCTATCTTACTTTTTATCGTTCTGGTGACCCTATCAAATGGCTTGTGATAAGTCGATATCTTAAAGTATGATTCCTGATACTTGGTTCTATCCATCTTGGTTGGTCTTATGTCTTTCTGATACATTTCTGTCGACTGAAGATTATCGAATGCAACCAAATAAATACACCTTTATTATTGGGCCATTTTTCTTTGAAAAAATCAATGGGGGGAAGAACTTTTAAAACCGTTTCTGTAACTGGTGAACGTTATGTTCAACTTTTGAGAGAAAAGGTTATTCCCATATTACAGGACAGACAATCACTAAGCGAAATAACATCTTGGAGGTCCTCCTCATATCTCCCGCGGTGGCAAACAATTGCTGAAGGATACGTTCGGTAAAGATCGTGTGATAAGTCGTCACTTTATACACCAGTGGCCTCCAAGATCACCAGACTTGACGCCTTGCGATTTTTGGTTATGGGAGTACATTAAGTCGTGTGTTTATCGATGCTGGCCTACCACATTGGCCATGCTGAAGGCTTCTATTAGATGGCAGGTTTTATCAATTTCAACTATTTAATTGTGACCATTCCGTCATCTATCGTCTGCAGGCGGTGTTTGAGAATGAAGGGCGCTACATTGAGCAAGGGATTGTGACCTAATACAAGAGAGAAGGCAGTTACCTCATGTGTTATATAAGCTGCCATGTATTATATTATCTAACAATATTTTGCAGCTCTTTGTGTTGGGTTATGGTGATAATAAAGGCTGTCCTCACATCTTGATTCTTTTTTTTTTTTTTTTTTGAACAGTAATTTTTTTGTTTGTCATTTTCTCACATATTATGTCGTGCAGACCAAAGTGTTATAACTTCTCGAATAACACTGGTACACACAATTTTACCCCTTATGTTTAGTCTATCGCTTTTCGCTCATTAGAAGAAATAGTATAAGGAATATTCTCTGTACACCAATAACTTTAGAAATTTTGCGCAAAAAAATAATACAAAATGATTTTACTACCACGTTATTCAACGCAAAAGGTCGATCTAAAAATGATTTTTATTTGGGGGGACACATTTTTAAAATTGTGTACAGTATAATAAGCAATGATAACATTTGACAAGCCCATAGGATATTTGGAATAAAGTACGACAAATACATTTTGTCACTACCCTCTATATTTCATTTGTTGGATCATGACTAATATCCAGTTAAATAGTCAAGGGTCGCCAATCAGTCAAGAAACTACACATTCCTTATAGCAAGAAATCCTATTAGTAGTGCCATCATAATTTTTGGTACTATATTAACATTTCAAAAAATCGTGTATTGATTTCAGCAATGTTTTCAAACATTCAATCTATTTCACAAAACTGCATCTAAAAAAATATATATATTTTTTTGCTACATGTTTTAATTTTCATTTACCTATTTTACATATTTCGGATGGTTCAAATTCACATTAATAGGTACCGCTCAGTAAGAGCAACCTAGTTCATGATAATTGAAACAGTGAATAATATGTGAAGGTTATTCACATATTAAATAAAATGTTAATGCGGGATTCAATCCTGGTTCATGACTGTCGGGAATCGAGCGTGTTACCCTCTCATCCACCGACTATATTGTTATATCTCGGATTGTATTTAAAAATCGTCATCCAATTCTTCTACTTTTGGCGAAATGGTGTTTTATTAATTTATCATTTGATATTATTAGGGTTCGTTCCTGGTATTCAAAAAGGAAAAATACGTGTCGATCGGTTATATTTATCAATTTATCAAACAATTTGACCGCTGAATCTCTGATTCTGGTAAAGCGCCATCTAGCGAATAAAATTGTAACTAAAATCAATTTAGAATTTTTCATTATTTGCCATAAAAAATCCCATTGCATCCTGAACACAATGGTGTTTACCGCATCGCTCTAGGGCAAATATTCGCGGCGTTATTAATTTTTAAAGTTGTGCAAGACTTTTGGATCACCCTGTACTGTAAAGATTTCAGTCAGATTAGTTACGTATTGTGGATGTGTATAGCCGACAAACATTCAAACCTACAGACCTTTATGTATATAAGGATAACGAAGGACAAGAGATTGAAGAAATTAACTAGATAAAATTATGTACTCACCAACAGCTCAGATCTATCACCGGTCTGACCTATCCAAGAACCACTAGCCAACTACAACAATCTAGCAAAGCTGCGATATTTGGGCAGAGATGCAAATTTGTATAGACATTACTAAAACACTATGCAAATCACAAGATTATTGAAGCGGTGCAGCAAAGAAGATGAAGAGAAGATGTGGGCAAAGCCGGTAAAGATACGCAGGGCCACTTCCTCCACAATGAAGTGTGGATTGAGAGATTCCAGAAGAGGGCGCGGCAGACAGACAGTCCAGCTAGTGCCCTCGTGAAATAAGAAGCAGCCATAGCGGTCGGCCTGAAGGGGGTTTGTGCACCGAAAGGACATCGCAGTCTGGGGGAGAAGTCAGTCTGGTGACATCGAGATCTGCGGCAAGGAGAAGTCAGCGGAGAGTTACCTCCGGGGCGTGTGGATGATCCTACAAGACGGTGCCAGGAGAGACTGACATCGGAGCGGCCTACAAGGCAGTGTAGTCCAGGCTGGACGTGTACAGTATGGAGCGGAACACTTCACAAGAAGACATCCACGGCGCCAAGGATCCTTCTGACGGGGAGGTTGAAGACAAGTCCCACTGTTGTATTCCTTCTGTTAAGTGAGATACAATAAAACGCTAACTTTAGCTGCATCCCTTCGAACTCACATGTGTATCTTTGTGGCATCCTGAGTAGACAAAGTACAGCGTCTGGGTACGACGTGACAATATCTTATTGTAGAAATATCTCGGTATTGTCACTTCCAACACCTCTCTCATGCAATATTTTTTGTGAGTTTCATTATATTTTATTAACAGTTAATTAGGTGTTAATGAGATATTTGAAGTTTCCTTATTTATATAGTTTTAAGTATTTTCCGGGTAGCGTTGTTGCACAGTAGAACCAACGTTAAAATCCACATGTTGGTGTTAGAAATGTAGGAATGGGAGGTTTGAGTATGGTTAGAAACACAGAGACAAATGGGCAAAGTCTGATAGAGTAGCAACAGTGTACAACTAATATTCGGATATTGATGCGCTAGCTATCGAAGTCATAAATTTATAGAAATTTTGAAGTACATTTTTCTATTCATAAAAATCACACACACAAATCTTTATTAAGACCACCGGTCTTATACAGATTCACCACAGGAAGAAGGAAGCATAGATGGAACTCCTATACTCCAGGCGGCACAGAACCCAACAACAGCCTCCAGGGTCTTATACAGATTCATCACAGGAAGAAGGAAGAATAGATAGAGCTCCTATACTCCAGGCAGCACAGAACCCAACAACAGCCACCAGGGTCTTATACAGATTCACCAAGGAAAGGAAGCATAGATGGAGCTACTATACTCCAGGCAGCACAGAACCCAACAACAGCCTCCAGGGTCTTAAACAGATTTACCACAGGAAGGAAGCATAGATGGAGCTCCTATACCCCAGACAGCGCAGCACCCAACAACAGCCTCCAGGGTCTTATACAGATTCACCAAAGGAAGAAGGAATCATAGATGGAGCTCCTATACTCCAGGCAGCACAGAACCCAACAACAGCCTCCAGGGTCTTAAACAGATTTACCATAGGAAGGAAGCATAGATTGAGCTCCTATACTCCAGGCAGCACAGAACCCAACAACAGCCTCCAGGGTCTTAAACAGATTTACCACAGGATGGAAGCGTAGATAGAGCTCCTATACTCCAGGCAGCGCAGCACCCAACAACAGCCTCCAGGGTCTTATACAGATTCACCACAGGAAGAAGGAAGCATAGATGGAACTCCTATACTCCAGGCGGCACAGAACCCAACAACAGCCTCCAGGGTCTTATACAGATTCACCACAGGAAGAAGGAAGCATAGATAGAGCTCCTATACTCCAGGCAGCACAGAACCCAACAACAGCCACCAGGGTCTTAAACAGATTCACCAAGGAAAGGAAGCATAGATGGAGCTACTATACTCCAGGCAGCACAGAACCCAACAACAGCCTCCAGGGTCTTAAACAGATTTACCACAGGAAGGAAGCATAGATGGAGCTCCTATACTCCAGACAGCGCAGCACCCAACAACAGCCTCCAGGGTCTTATACAGATTCACCACAGGAAGAAGGAATCATAGATGGAGCTCCTATACTCCAGGCAGCACAGAACCCAACAACAGCCTCCAGGGTCTTAAACAGATTTACCACAGGAAGGAAGCATAGATAGAGCTCCTATACTCCAGGCAGCGCAGCACCCAACAACAGCCTCCAGGGTCTTATACAGTTTCACCACAGGAAGAAGGAAGCATAGATGGAGCTCCTATACTCCAGGCAGCGCAGCACCCAACAACAGCCTCCAGGGTCTTATACAGATTCACCACAGGAAGTAGGAAGCATAGATGGAGCTCCTATACTCCAGGCAGCGCAGCACCCAACAACAGCCTCCAGGGTCTTATACAGATTCACCACAGGAAGAAAGGAATCATAGATGGAGCTCCTATACTCCAGGCAGCGCAGCACCCAACAACAGCCACCAGGGTCTTATACAGATTCACCAAGGAAAGGAAGCATAGATGGAGCTACTATACTCCAGGCAGCACAGAACCCAACAACAGCCTCCAGGGTCTTAAACAGATTTACCACAGGAAGGAAGCATAGATGGAGCTCCTATACTCCAGACAGCGCAGCACCCAACAACAGCCTCCAGGGTCTTAAACAGATTTACCACAGGAAGGAAGCATAGATAGAGCTCCTATACTCCATGCAGCGCAGCACCCAACAACAGCCTCCAGGGTCTTATACAGATTCACCACAGGAAGAAGGAAGCATAGATGGAGCTCCTATACTCCAGGCAGCACAGCACCCAACAACAGCCTCCAGGGTCTTATACAGATTCACCAAGGAAAGGAAGCATAGATGGAGCTACTATACTCCAGGCAGCACAGAACCCAACAACAGCCTCCAGGGTCTTAAACAGATTTACCACAGGAAGGAAGCATAGATAGAGCTCCTATACTCCATGCAGCGCAGCACCCAACAACAGCCTCCAGGGTCTTATACAGATTCACCACAGGAAGAAGGAAGCATAGATGGAGCTCCTATACTCCAGGCAGCACAGCACCCAACAACAGCCTCCAGGGTCTTATACAGATTCACCACAGGAAGAAGGAAGCATAGATGGAGCTCCTATTCTCCAGGCAGCGCAGCACCCAACAA